AGAACCACCAGACCATGAGGCGAAACAGAAGAGAAGCATATGTGGGGTCAGCTGTCCTGCCTCCGGCGCGGGAGGACCGAAGGAACAATACGCCCTGCAATGGCCGACATCGTGAAACCCTGCATGACATGTCCAGGGCAAACCGATCAGAACGGCACATGGGGGGAACGGCGCACAGTATCCGGAGAAGGCCGTCGAATCCCGCCGACCTGCGTCGAGCCCCCGGGTAGCCTTGCATGGGGTTCGTCGAGATTCTCCTCGGATCCTGCCCGTCGCCCAGGCTGATGCGTTTGCCACGTTTATATTCAGAATCACGCTGAAAACGGCTGCAAGCACTGTAGTATCATTGACAGTGCATATCCCCAACACTCCTCAAACCCTAAACGCTGAAGCCTACACCAGGAGTTAGAGGAGCTGGCCCGGCTGCGTGCCGTAGAAGCCGGGATCTGAGCCCGAAACCCTGAAAGTCCTAGGCACGGAGCACTCTTCTGAAGCCTGAGGGCTCCACGGATGTTGAGCTTGGGATCTGGGGTTTTGGGTTTGGTTCCAGGTTTAGGGTTTCGCTTCGGTGGTTTAGGGTCTGGGGGTTAGGTTCTTGAGTTCATGTGGTCTAACCCTAACCCCAAAGCTGAGGTGTGCTACCTAGCAATGGGTCGAGTGTGGACATGGCGCATGGGCTTACGGCGGTTGTGGAGTCGAGACTCGGCTCGGCTGCCAGGCCGAGCATGCCCAGATAGTCGAAGAGGAGCGGCGGCGCTTGCTGCTGGGCTGCAGTTTGGCAGAAGGATGGACAGAGGTGTAGACTGCTGGAAATGTCCAATTTTGCCATCTACGTCCTCTGTCGGGGGTCACATTTTCTTCGCCACAGGATGTTTTGCCCGTCTTGTATGAGTTGGGGGCTTTGGGATTTGGAGTCTGAGGCTCAAGCTGCATGCTGGCGACGCCAGGCTCGCCGTGACGATCGAGTTTTTGGCCGGACTTGCTAGATCCTAAAGCCTTGAATGCCGAGCGCTATTTTCTAGACTGACCGTGAGACCCCAAGAAAGACCCTGTTTGAGCTGGTAGCTCAACAACTTGGAGCGTCAAACTTCAAACCGACAGCCTCGAAACTCCGAATCCGAAGCCTTTCAGGCTTTCTCCTGAACGCCCGTTTCTCCTAAATCCTGAAGGATTCAACGCCGAATGTTCCAAGTCCTTGACAATCTACAAATGCAAAGGGATCCGAAATCCGGAACTCACGTTTGCATGCTATGTAGCATGTTTAGTATGCATGTTACCCATACTAGCCGTACTGTCTACCGCTAGTATTTCTTTGGAGCCCGCAATCTACGAAGTTATACTGTTTGGGTGTCCTCAGCACAAGGATCCTCTGCAACTTAAGCTAGTGTGGTGACGGCCCAGGCAGGGTTCAGGCTTAGGTGAACTCTACGGCATGATCGCTAACGATTGAGATAACGGAAGGCCTTACGTTCAGCAGGGCTGTTATCGGCATTAAGTTTGGTGAGTTCAGTCGGGGCTTAGAGCGCAGGTGAGATGTCCACTTGACAACTTTGATGATAACTTTGTTGCTCGAAGCTGAAGGCTTTCATGTGCCACAGACCTTCAGTTCCGAGCCACGGAAACTTTCACTGTTTGCACTTGAAGATCGGATCACCTCGAGGCATTTCCCGAAGGGCGCCTTGGCTCGAGAGTCGGATCTCGAACTCGCCAGGGGCCCATTTGTAGTTGGAACCGGTGGAGGGGTTGAGGCTCAGGGTTTAGGGTTTGAGGGGTTGGGAGTTTGCATTGTGGAAAGTGGGGGTCGACATAGGTTTTCGCACGATTCCTGGAGGCTTCTCTGCTTCGATCACTGCGAGTCTTACTAGCAAGTCCTCCAAGGGCTAAGCACCGATGCTATGTGGGCACGCGAGGCTGGCTGTGGGGGCAGAATTTCATGTTCTGAGAAGACTCCAAAGTTGGGGATGTTTAAATTTCGTCGGATGATTTGGAGTAGTACTTCTGCTTACTAAACTCAACAGCTGTCTTCGTGTTTCTACCGATATAAAAACAGTTTCGTGTTCCCACGTTTTGGCCGCTGTACACAAGACAGACATAAAGCCCTTTCTCAATAAAGAGTGGGTAAAACTTGTCACCTCTGCGACAGAAGCTCAACAGAGGTCGGGCTGCCGCGCTCCGCAGCACCCGAACGCCCCGCTGTGCAAAGGCTTGGGCTCACTGGCCCGCGTGTTTCTTCTGGGTTGCGTTCTGCTGGGCAGAGGTATTGAATACGTGGAGTTATGAGTAGTGCTGCTATACAGTCGCGCGGCTGACACAATGTAGCTTGGTTTTAGTAGATGCTTCATATCGGTTTGGGTCAAGGAAGAGGTCACTCCACACACTTCGCTTTTCACCCTCATCTTTCAGGGGACAGAAGGAGTGTGCAGGTGCTCTGTCCAATGAAGCTCCCCTCGGAACCCCAGGCGGTACCCGTATCCACGCTGAGCCCCAGTGTGGGCAGTTGGCGAACACTTGTCATTCATTTTATTTGCTGTGCCATTGCTTGCGTCTGGATCATTCATTTGGTTGGTGTATGCCCTTTTCCGGCTTCAAAACTGCGGGACAGCTGCTGAAGCAAACTTAAATGGGAGAAGCTGATCAACCAAAGGTGGAAGGATAGGACGAAAGTAAATACTGTGTCACACGGAGGTGCTGCTGAGAAGGTTTAACACCCTTACACGCTGAAACCGGACACGTTTGAACACTGGAAGCAACAATGTCGGCTCTGCGTGATAGATGTTCTCCAACACCCCGAACAAACCTCGGCGGCAGGGTTTGCTTTCGAAGCAGCTTGTGGCGATGCTGTGATGTGTTTGCACTACAGTGTGGTTCTCTACAATTGTTGCTATTACTACTGCTATTTCTGTTATTATTATTATTGCTACTACTACTACTACTCTTATTACTACGGTTACAACAACAACAACAACAACAACTACTACTACTACTACTACTACTACTACTACTGGGAGGTCCCGAGGCAGCCTGGCATTGGAAACTTGTAAATAATTATTTTATGAAAATAAAGTGAAGGTCAAAGTGACTTTGAAAAGTGACTTGGAAAATCCGGGTCCCGGAAAACTGATTCCAAGTGTGCTGAAAAGTGACTTTGAAGCTATTTTAAAGTGACTTGGAAATCGGAAAAAAGTGAATTTTGGTCGGGCGAAAAAGTGAATTAAAGTGATCGTACACAATTCAAAAAAGCGAAATAAAAGTGATTTGAAAGTGATTCAATACCTCAAAAAATGATTTCAATCTGTTTCAAGGCAGGAAAAATGATTTCCAAGTGATTCACGGCCTCAAAAAGTGATTTCAAAGCGATTCAGGGCCTGACATCACTACAGTCCACTACAATGGTCACTACAGTCTACAGTCACCACAATGGAAGGAGTATTTGTACTCCGGGTGCACACGTCCTGGTTGGAATCAATTTTCAGCTGCAAAATCACTTTGAAATCATTTGTTGCGGGGGCTTGAATCACTTTGAAACCACTTTTTGAAGCCTTGAATCATTTTGAAACCATGTTTTGAGGGCCTGACTCACTTGGAAATCACTTTCTGAGGCCTTGAATCACTTTGAAATCACTTTTTGAGGGTTTGAATCAGTTTGAAATCACTTTTTGAGGGCTTGAATCAGTTTGAAATCACGTCCGCAAAAAGGGGCTTCAACATCGCGCTGCAATCCTGTATTCGAATAATTGTCAAATCACTTTTAAAAGTCACTTCTGCGAGTTGCCCAAGTCACTTCAAAATCACTTTTTCGAGTAGCCCTTTCACTTTTGAAAATGCACAAATCACTTTGCAAAATCACTTTTGCCCGGTGCACGAAAAGTCCAAATCACTTTTTCAATTCACTTTGTTTTCACTTACCTTGGCAGAAATAAATTCGTCCAAACCATCCCAACGCCAGGCTGCCTCGGACCTCCCACTACTACTACTACTACTACTACTACTACTACTTCTTCTTCTACGACTTCGACTTCGACTTCCACCTCTACTTCTATTTCCACTTCTTCTACTAGTGCTACCACTGTGTTCCCAGCATGCTACGGACCGTACATTGCGAAGAGAACCAAAAGACCCAACCCTTCTCGGGATCTGATCCGCCCAAACTCCGCTCTGGAGCTTGCCGGGTCTGCAGCCCGAGCCATGCAAAACTCCACAAACCCTTAAGCCCAGAAAAGGCAGCGCGACAACTACTTGGGCCTTGCTCCCTACCCGGTCGCTTGGTGGCAGCGGTCCAGGGTTTCGGAGTGTTGGCTTTCCAGGTTTGGCGCGGAGTTTTGGGGTACTAGATTCTCGCGGACACCTGGTCTACATGCGCACATGCGCACAGAATCTTGAGGTCCCTGAACGGCATGTTTGACGTGCCACGCCTTTGGTTTCAAGATGTAGATTCTGAGGTTTAGTGTCGGAGCCTCTTCTGTATCATCCTTTGGTGCTGCTTCGGGCTTGTCTTTCCCAGTCGTAGATGTGGTGGGGCATTTTTTGGTCTAAAGCATGGCCGGACGTTGGTCCTCGCCGGTCTGGTGGCCTTCTGGCCCGAGACTGCTGGTCCTGTGGTCCTTGCGGTCGACCGGTTCTCTGGCCCACTGGTCCCATGATATGCTGGTCCCGTGTGTGGAGGGTCGGCGGGGTCCTTCCTAGGCTTTGCTGGCCTGGTCTAGGTGTCTCTTGATGTTTTTGACGAACTTGTAAGTCACACTAGGTTGCCCCAACACCACACCAAGAACCTGCTGCAAAACACGACCATCGAGACTCCGCGACCTCCGCAAAAAACCTGGATTAAATCTTTGACATGAAGGACCCGCCACACGGAACAAGACTCAACAGCTTGCCGCCTGGCAAAACAGATCTCCACCGGGCCACAGAGCGGGTTCGGATGGAAAGTTTCGGGGCATGGTGGGAGGCTCTTGGCGAAAGCAGGGAGGGAGCAGAGCGAGCTTCCGCGTTCCGCTGCCGAGGCCAGGAGCCGAGCCGTCTCCGCAGGTCCGGCAGGCAGGGTTGGCAATGCAGGGATCTTCGACTTTTGTGTGAGTGCACTTCAGCGGCGAGGTGCACGGGCACCGCCGGCTGACCCAGCCGAGCCAGAGCCGGAGGGGCCTCTGGCAGCCCCTTTTAGGCGGCCACGGGCCTCGACACCCGTGCCGCGCTTCGCACCCGCTCCTCGCGACCGCGCGGGTGGTGTGGCGGAGGTTTTGGGGCAGGGCCTGGCGGAGGGCGGCTTCCAGCCACCGGCCCGGGTGCCGGCGCGGTCGCGTGCGAGCAGTGTGGCCTTTGCCTCGGAAAAGACAAAATTCCTCCTTCTCGGCATTTGTCATGGACCTGAGAACCAAGGCGATGTCCAGAAGAGATGCGGGTAGCTGACCCAGGACTGGCTCACACGCCGGAGCTTCGCCCGAATCCTGTTGCAAAGCCTTCGTGTTACAGGGCTCAGGGTCGGTTGACATAGAAGTTGCTAGGCAAAGGAGTGACGCAGCAGATCCTGTCGGCCGAAGCGCTTCAAGTGTGGTTCAGAGAGTGTTATTTTGTCGAACTGGCCTGTGTACATCAAGCTGCACAGGGCAGCTGTACAGAGTCGTGCTGACTACATGGGATCAAGGGCTTCATCAAGAGGTCGCCTTGAGGTGCATGCCAGGGAAACTTGCTTAAAGCAGGATTTCCTTGGGAAATTCCCTTCATCAAGAGGACACCCTTCTGCTGCTGAAACCCCCCCATACCCTGCAGGTGATCCATGTCCTATGTGCGTCACACATGGTTGCATGGAGGGACTAATTCCGTTGCGGACGCAATCTGCTGTGGGAGAAGCGAGGCTGAAACTGCGCGATGTGGTCTCGGTTGGATGGCGAAGCTCTAGCTGCCCACCCCACATCCACACATCCACACCCCTTTGTAGCAAGGCTGGACATTGGAAGGTATCGGCCAAAGAGACTTCGGGTTTGCAGGTTTCAGGCTCGGCAGTGAATGCTGCTTTAACCGCAGTTTGATGGCAAGCGCTTTAGGATAATGCTTCCCACTTCAGTATAGATAAAATTTGTGCAGTGTGTTGCATTTGGGTTGATTGAGGGTTGCAAGAGCTGGGGCATGCTTGGCAAATTATGACCCGAGCTGCACTATTCGTGGTTTGGCCAGTTAGTAACCTGAAGCATTCTCCGCCACAAAGCCTGTACCGAAACCTGGCAATTTGAGCTCAAAACCATTCAAAACCTCTGAGCCAGTCCTCGCATGGATGCCGGCTGCCGCCGAAGAACCGAACGGTAGACCATGAAGAGAAGATATGGCATATCGTAGCAACCATAGGCCAGACGTTCGGCTGTGAGAAGTCCAGAAAACAGTGCGTCCCTAGGACCGAAACCCCACTTAAAACTAGAGTACAACCCTGATACACCAAACCCTCAGCCCCACACAAGCCAAACCTGTAAAGTGGCCGATCGACTGACGTTGATGAAAGGCTTCAAGGAGCGGCAGCGTTGAATTCCGAACCCGAGACCCTTGCTGCCGGCTTTGGGGACCGCCACGGTGCCATGCAAGGGATGTACAGCGACAAGTGGCCCCGGCCTTAGTATTTTGTTGGCTTCCTTGCCGCCTCTCTGCGATCCTCGATCCTCAGAAACTTTGGAAAACTTGCAGACGGTGCACTTTGAAACCGAAGCCTCTGCACGACGTTGTCTCACTTTGAAGCAGAACTCCTTCAGCCGTGCGGCCGTCAATTGTTTCAGTTCCTTGCAGCACCGACCAAGGTGTGGTGAGTACCGCGGCCTTGCGTGCCTAGCTAAGCCTTGCTTTACCACGACGCTCGGCGCGGGCATCTCCCCAAAGGCGGGAGCAAAGATAGGGTTTTCGACGGTCACTGATCGTCTGTAAGCTCACTGCTGGGAGTTCACGTTTGAATCTGCTGTGTATCGCAAAGGATTCTACGGGCGAGCCGGTCTTTGGGATGCCTTTTATTGTGCATGCAAGATACATACACATGTTACATGCATATACGTGTTCTACAAATCCACATCTGAATTTGTTATTGCGGGATAATGGTTGTCGCTGTGAGATGTTTTTGGGTACTGGTTGGGGCTGCTTTCAAATCCAAGTGGAGAACTAGATGTCCAAGTCGAACCTTGGTGCTCTCTTTAAAGAACCTGCGTCCGGTATGCGGATCCTTGGCACCAAGGTCTGTAGGATCTGCAGGCTTAAGTGCTTCCGCTTAGAAACAGCTGATGAATGTTTTCCCGTAGGGTCGCTGCCCTTTTCCAGAGGCCAACAGGCCTGGTCTTGCCAGTCTAGTACCTCTAGCATTGCAGGCTAGCATGAGAACCCCGGCTGCCTTGTGCACATATAGGTAAGCGTAAGACAGACCTCAGCTGTTGCCAGTCACGCGGCTGGTCGCTCGCCGAGACGGTGATCGGCACGCTCTTGGGTGGAGCTCGCGAGTATTTCTTTCAGCTTTTCCCGGCTTAGGAGTGGCAGTTTCGAGTTCAGGAAGGTTGTTTTGTGATGGCACCTAAATCAGAAGTGGGCTACGTAAACAGGGTAATGTACCCTGTGCGCTGTTTTCCAACATTGTGCAAGTCTCTCAGTGTTCTTGTGTCTAGCTCCTTTGCCAGCTGCTTCAGCCCCGTTGTCCTAAAGCTGTGAGCAAGTGTGGTGTGACTAGAAGCCCCACAAGCCCCTACGTCTTATGACAAACCCGAACTCCCTGGCTTTGCCCGATTGCATCGTGGCACACGAAGAACAGCGGTCACGACAGCGTCGTGGGCCGAAGCCGAGAAGTGGTGAAAGAACTCATGGTTCGCCCTCAAGGACAAGGTGACAAGGACTTGCGATGAGCTCGCAGAATGCGCTTGCCAATTATGCTTGCCCGGCCATTCTCGCGACGTTCAAGGTTGTCCTGCTGTCTTTTTCTTTCCTGACAGGTGTTTCGTGTTTCTGGCGCACGAGTCGCTGGCTTTCTGTGTGCTGATTTCAGGGTTCCGCTTGCAGGGTTTGTGGAGAAGGTTTGTAATTAGACTTCAGGTTCTAGGTCTGCGGTGTGGTTGTGGTCTTAGGGTTTAGGGGTCGAATGTTGAATGGGGTTGTTTCATTTACCTTGCTTTCTTCTTCAGATTTGGGTTTTTGTTTTTAGGACTCATGGTTGTAGTGTTTCCGGCTGAGTTTTTTTGGGGGGGTTTTGGGTTTATGGCTACAGAGTTCTGAAGTTTAGGGCTTCGCTGATTATGCTATGCCGAGTGCCACAGCCTTGCAAGGCCATCCGACTTGAAGAGACTCCTAATTCTACAGTGCCTGAAGCACACCATACTGTTCCTGGTTTCCAACCGAGCCCCTAACTTGAAACTCTGAAGCCACCCTACCCCAAAGCTTCTGAGCCACCTCCGCCCTAAGCGAGCCCCCTGCCAACCTGAAATCCAAAACCCTCGCAACCCTACGCCCTCAACACTTGCCAGGCCTTTGTCTTCTCCTGGCCGTCATCGTATTGGTGTGACTCGGTGCTGAATGGCTATGTTCTGCTCCTACATCTTGCAGTCACGGTAGAGCAGTTGGGTGCGAAGGGTTTAGGTTAATGGTTTTCGAAAAAAATTGGGGCCTAAATGGGTGGTGCTCAAGGAGCCTCCTCGTCTTTGCTTAGCGAGTAAGGGCTTCGCGTCATCTGCAAAGTAGACAGGATATCGAACCTCTGTACTCAGTATGTCAAAGCCTATTTACAATCTTGCTAATTACACAGAGAGCCCTTCCTACTTGCCGCGACATGCACCGAATCAAAAACCCCGAAGCGCCCCAAGCCCCAAGTCGTCTCAGGTTGCCCCTGGCGTTGATCCTGACGTTGCTGGAAGCACTTCGGGCCGGGTTCCAAGCTGGCTTTGTGGATTAAGGGTTGTGGGTCAGGGTTCGAAGTCAGCAGTAGGACGAGCAGGAGCAGGAGCAAGGGTAGGAGTAGGAGTCATGATACTGTAGTGACAGCAGCAGCAGCAGCGGCAGCAGCAGCAGCAGCAGCAGCAGCAGCAGGAGGAGTAGTAGTAGTAGTAGCAGCAGCAGCAGCAGCAGCAGCAGCAATAGTTGTAGCAGCAGCAGTAGGAGCAGCAGGAGCAGCAGGAGCAGGAGGAGCAGGAGGAGCAGGAGGAGCAGGAGCAGCAGGAGGAGCAG